TAAGATGTTAGTCACTCATGTGCTTCACCTAAATTGAATGCAACAGTGAACTACTTTCATGATTTGTTCAGAAAGTGAGAATGATGTGGATCATATTAATTAAACATGCTGTAAGTGAAAAAGTGCAGACCCTAGATGGTGGTTCAACAGCTATTTAGAGTGTAAAAAAGGAAGATGCACCCACCACCTATTTGCACAGGCTGCTTAATTTTCCTCTGCAGAGCTTACTACTCTACATTTAGCAAACAGCAACTCTTTTCAAGATTGCCTAAGTCAGTATTAACATTCCAGCAGGCCATTTGGCTTAGAAAAGATGTGCTCCAGTGGATAAAGAATGTACATGTTAACCAGCTTTACTTTCACACACGTAAGGTAAGTTTTGTCATGTTAGTTTCCATGCATACAAAATTTTCAACAAAAAGCAGACCCTGTCTGACTGCCAGTAAGGCCACACTTCTCTAATATGATGTGTTGTACGTTTCCTATCAAGATGAAAAAACAGGTTTGACAGGAATGACTGCAAAATCAAATGTGTCTGTTTTTTAATTGAAATTAAACTGTTTTGAATTTTATATATTGGCATGTTATGCTGTATTTCATTGTCATCCATTTCTCTTGAGGGCTGCAGCTATGCTGCAGTATATAAATGCATGTGTCCAGATGAGGAAGCCACTATGAGTAGTACAGTGCCTTATATACGTCAGCATCATCACGCTCTGAACTGTAATTGCTGTTGCTGTTGTTGTTTAAACGAAGCAGACATCACCAACAAACAAGCCCCTTGTCAAAGAATACCCTGGAAACAATGCTTGTACTTCTGCTATAATGTAGTTAGATATGCCTGTGGCGGCAGCTGAATACAGGTACGTATGTTTGGCATAACTTGAATCCAGACTGATCCCAGCCTCCCCCAACCTTGTGTGCTCCAGGTGCTTTGTACTTCAAGCCTGTCAGCCCCACCAATGGTCAAAGAGGCTGGGAATTGCAGCCTAAACAATCTGGACAGCTGCAGGTTAAGAAAGGATGCTTGCTTGAGTTTGGTTTCTCCAGGTCCTTACTTAGTTATATGTGAGATAGGCAGCAGTTATCTTTCAGCACAATGCCTCACAGGTAGTATATACCAACCACCAATATGACCATCAGGGAATAGGTATCCATACAAATGAGGCCTTTTCAAAAGATGAGAAAATTAAGACCCTGTTTTTCTCACAACGACCAGCAGGGGTCTCCCTCCTCCTTGGGGAAATAGCTAGTGCTGCATGCATGACTGTATTCTGACAACAGTCGGTGCAGAAGCACAATTCCTGCAACACATTTTGCCGGAACATCCATCTTCTCCAGCAATCAAAATACAGGGGTATCCTTTTGCTACTTCTTGTAGCAGTTACATACAGCTGGCTACTTTTATCTATTCCACCACTGTACTCTTGCGCCTGGCAGATTAGGGCTTGGGGCTTCATCTGCTATTTCTGTACTCCAGAAGTATTTACTCCAGGCATTCTGTAAAATCTCTCACCAACTTTTTCAACTACTTAAGTTGTAAATACATTATATAATTGCAAACTATTAATTGTAAGCTGCCCAGAGAGCCCTTTGGGCTATGGGGCTGCGTGTAACTATTTCCAAAACACTTTACAGGATACATAAAACTTGACTTCAACGTTTTGGCTAAAAAAAAAAAGTTCGTGAAAAAAGATAAGGCAGATAGAGTTTCCTGCTCAATTGTTTGCCAAAAAAGCCTCATAACTATGCAATGATTTGATTGCACACTGCCTGTTCTTCCATCTACTGTTGGATAATGCCTTCTGCTGTGTTGATAAACCAATGCAGTTTTGATTTATCATCAAATCTAGAGCTTATGAGGATTCTAGACTTGTTGCCTTTTAGGCAACTCACACCCCCCATTTTGTATGGTCACATTTCAATAGAAGTCTATGTATGTGTACGTGGAAGAGCTATTACTCCATGTAGAAGTGTTATTGGTCATTGGCAATATAATACATGAAGGATTTTGCATAAAATAACAAAATGGATAGCTGAACTTGAATAATGTGTTGTATGTATATATTTGGAGTGGCAGACACAGTGGTAACAGTTGCTTTACTCTTTCCCTTTATTTAAATCTCAAATATTAGTTGAGATTTGAAGGATCACTAAGAGTGCAATCCTGTGCATGTTTAAACAGAAAAACATCCTGCAACTCCCACATACCCCAGCCACAGGACTGTACTCCAAATTACTTAGAATATCTTCTTTTGTAGACTCCAAAGGTCAGCAACTTGTGGTCTTTTTATCCTGCAACACCTGTCATCCCTCATGGGTTCATGGAAGTTGTAGGCCAAAATATCTATCCTTAGGTAGATCATTAGGCTTTTGAAAGGCTATTTAAACTTCGAACAAACCACCAAATAGTAGTGAGGGTTTATGTTGGCAAAACCTAAACATTTACTACCATTGCAAAAACAGATGTTGGGGGAACAGGCATGAGGAATGGACAATTTATTTGCCAAAGTTTTGGTACAGACTTCACTTCACACGTCCTGCTCCAAATAAATTTTCTAATAAATTTTCTAACACCCTGTATGTTGATAGAGATCTGTCATATTTCTAACCACTACTTTGAGCTGCATTCCTCAATTTTAGAAAAGCTATTTGGCAGTCCTTATAGACCAGCAAGTGGGTTTGTATCACTTCCATCTGATGAATATACAGTTCTCCAATGTGCCAGAGATGCGGTTTGCTAACATCTGTGCATTATAATCTCAGTAACTAACTGCATTTTATATGATCAGCAGGCTTGGAAATTGCTGCCATGCTAAATAAGCAAGCAGGCCAACATATGGTTAGCAATTTCTACATGGCAGGAAGCTCCAGTGAGTGGATTCTGGCCACAAATCATTCGAAATAAAACTACTCATTAAAACAAAATAGAATGCCTCCACTTACCATCAGGCTTCCCACTGCATTATACCGTGCACCTGTTTTGTTAGAAGGTGATCTGAGGTCCGTACATTGAAGTTATCTAATGGAGAACAAGCTTTCTGATCCCCTTAACACGCAATCACTTATGGATTCAGATAACGATTTACCATATAATAATTTACCATGAGGTACATGAAGCTGCTTGGTAAATTAGTGGACTAGTTGCAATTTTCTCAGATTTCTTCAGGTAGACAGCTAGTTTACCAACTAACCTACCTAGTTCACTGCATTTTGAGTAAGCTTCTCTTGCATGCAAAGCTGTGCTGTTCCACTGAGTCATGAGCCATCTCCCTGCAATTGCCTATGATAGATTAAAGGTGAAACAACACATTTAAAATTGCAGTTAGTAGCATTGCCTCAAAATTAAGTAATGGTGATATGATCCAGATTGGGATCCCAGGGTCAGGGGCAAAGGGGAGCTGTAATCTTTGGTTTTCCATGTTTGTCTTTCATTACAATCTTGATTGGGAGTGCCCCCCCCCCCACAAATTTATTGCCATTTCTTTGAATGACTCACTTTTTGACAATGTACTATATATGCCCCCTGCTTCTACACGGGGATCCTGATCTGTATTGGATACCCTTTGCTTAGTATTGAGTACAAAAAAGACATAGTTTCTGGCTAGATTTTCAAAGTGTGCAGTTTGATCTGAAGATACGAGTACCAAGATTCTTGTGAACAGATACTTGTTTTTGCCACTTATTCGGGACCTTCAGTTGTATTTTCTCTTATATTAACTGCTCATATAAAAATGCTTATACGTGCATAGTGTTTGTTGCAGAAAGTAGTGCTATGTGTACCCTGCCATTTCCTTGCATGTAAGATGATTTTTTTAAAAAAGAAAAACTATTGTAGTGGCATGGCAGCATCATGATCACCTCCACATGTTTGTTATGTTTTATCAAACCAAGATAAGGGAAGATACAAAAAGCATTTTGAGAGTCACAGAAGAGCGAACAATAAAGCGTTCTGGAGCCATGTTAGAAGAATTTGGAAAACTCAAAGCTGCCATGTTTGTATATATTTTATTATATTTCTATTTCTGCAGAGCATGTAATGCCGCTTGCATCATCTTTCTCCTCTTCTGTGAGGTGGGGTGGGTTGGGCTGGGCTGGGAGTCAGTGACAAGGCCAAAGTCACCCAGTGAATGTGGCCAAACAGGGTCAGGAACCCAGGCCTCCAGTCAAACACTCTAACCACTATACCACCTGAGTTCCCCAGCATTCCCCCAACAAACCAATTACTATACTAGCACTAGAACTGGTATTATTCTTTCCTTTTAATTGGTTTCAGTAGGAGAGGATTTTTTTTTTAAATCAAAACTACATCTTCCACCAATTTGTAGCCATTATGAACAGGCAGGGGCGTTGATGTAGTAAATGCACAATAGCAATTCTCTCCTGATGCCATGAAGGAAGTTTTGCTCTGTTAGGCTTTCTTGCACTTGTTACTATTTAGGTTTTACTTTACAGTACTTCCTTGCAACACATTTCTGAATGTTTTTGTCATTATTTTTTAAACAGTATGGTAGTTTAATATTCCTAATGGCTTAGAACAATTCCAGATAAGAGTGAACTAAAATGATAATCTCTAACTAAAATTGAATATGTTTTAAGGAGTGTTTTCTGATATTCCTCCGCTGACATCAGATATTGCTTATTTTCTTCAGTATTTTGCTTTCATTGTAATGTATGTTAGGTTATACATTCATGAAGTACCATGAAAATTAATGACCTATATAAACAATGGCTGCCAAAAGTTTCCTAAGATTAGCTCAGATTAGTGCTACCCCCCCCCTTTAATTAGCAGTTAATTCTCCTTTCCTGAAAGTTACATCACAGAGACTCCATGGCACATCTTTCTAGAACGGAGCTGTGCTTTATTTCAGTTTAATTTCTGATCATTGCAAGGTAATGTAGATGTAACAAGTGTGCTACAGGTAATACACAAGGAATTTCTAAGAAGAGTGAAAAGTATCCTTGTTTCTCCAATTCCATAACATACAATTAAAAAGGTATAAAATAACAATTTTTTATTTTGAAAATATGGCAAGAGTCTAAGGCACTTCAAACATTTAAATGCATGTGACTGAAGTGAACATGACAGGGAAAGAAGCATTCCATATATGTGCCTGATTCCATTAGTATTGAACATCTTCCAACATTGAATCATATAGGTGACAATGAATAAAATCTAGTAACAATTATGTGTAAAGTATTGTTTTAATTATGATGGAATAAACAGTGTTGCAAATACTGACTTAATCTTTTATATAAAAGCTATACAAATTGGCAACAACAATTTATTAACAAGTTTCAGGCCATTTCGTTAAGCCATCAAGCCACCAGCTAACATTCCGAAGAGCTAACCACAGAAGCAATCATCATTTTGTATATATAAGCATTAAAACAAGACTCAAAAGCATTTTGGAATGACATTTATAAAAGAGTTCTTGCCAACAAACAATTCTAACAGTAGCAAATATAAATATCTGTAAAGAACATACCTTTAAAAAAGCCAGTAAGATTTGTCAAGGGTGGGCAGAAAAGGGAGAGCATAATTATAAATGGGCAGATAGCTTAAAAGTGTACATAAGGTAACAGAAGGCTATATTCTGCAGCAAAGACTTTATGCCATTTTCTGGAGGCTGAAAAGATGAGCAGGAGGAGTACCCAGAAGGCTACCAGAGCCACGTGGAGGCTACATGTAATCGCTCCTTTATGGCAGCTGTCCCCATACAGTAAGCCTTTCATTCAATAACTTGCCATGATGTCCATTTCTTGGACTAGCTGTAAACCTGTGAGATCCTGCAGCAGCACGGAGAAGACTGCCCAATCAGCACAGCGAACAGGCACGCATGAACAGCTACAGTGACTGAAGTGAAATAATTCCATCTGTCAGCCATACCATGAACACTGATCCTAAGTGGTATTGTCAGCAAGGATGCCATCCTAGCCCTTTTCTTGTCAACATTTCCTCTAGGCATCAGTTTGCAGTTTGCTGGTGTGCTCAGGCACAAGACAGTTACATTCAATATCTGTCACTGTAAAACAGTAACTACTTAGCAGCTTAGGAGAGGTGACATTAGAGTTTACAAATATTTGTGCATTAGCAGTCAAATGGGCTTCTATGGGTAGGACCAGGAGATGGCTTCCTTCCAAGTCTTGGGGTGCCCTGGAAAAGCAAAGAGTAGAGGATCATTAAAGATAGGAAATAATTAAGCTTGTACAGAAAGCCACTGACCCCATCAGCTTATTGAATACTTCTATTGTACTGAGGATCAGTACAAATCCAACCACTGTGTGGTACAAGTCTAAAGCACTGAAACACACAACAAATGCCTTCATGAGGGTGGTTACAAGGCACGTCTCTTAAGTGTCTCCCTGTCTCCAGTGGGCAAAGATGGAAAGAAAAGCAAGTTTTTTTCAAAGTGAAGGAGAGGCACCAAGGTCACTACAGTTCAGTTTCTAATGCTGGGGGGCAGAGGGGCGAGATCAACTCACATTTACTCCAAGACCCTGAAATCCTCTCAACAGGCTTGTCTACAGAAACCCCAAAGCCTTGCATGGAACGTAACTCACCGGGGACTGGGTTTTGGAGAAGTTTGCGTGTGCATAGAGAAGAACAGCAATATCCTTGTGGCCTGCTTCAAGGGCTATTGAAAGTGCAGTGCTCCCGTCCTAGGGGGGAAGAGGCAGAGAGAAATAAAGCATCCATGTCTGTCTAGATCTTTTTAAAAACCACAACTGTGTTCTGATACTAAAAGGTACTGAAATACAGGTCCTGTTATTCAGCCAGCCAAAACAGCATAGAATCCATTAAAAAATCCACTTATTATAATTAAGTGACAAGCTTTGTGCCTTTGTTTTACGAGGCAATTCAATTGTCAGGAGCCTCATAATTTCTCTCAACAAGGGAGTTGGATTATTGCTGAGCATACCATTATCCAAAGAACACTGCAAATATTTCTGTGACTTTGTTTCAGGGGAAAGAAAATTATATTGCTCAGTAAGGTGAAAAGAGAATAAATGTGGAGAAGAGACAAACTATTAATCAAATATAAGAATTAGTTGTGATAACTCCCATTAATTAATGGCATTCTTAATTTCAAACGCTCCGAAAGAGCAAGTTTTTCTTTACAAGAAAGCATTTCCTACATGTGTAATCTGACACAAAAAACAAAGACTACTGCCCTCAGGATTGCACTGTGGCAAATGCATTTAGTGTCTGATTGAAAGAGGAAACTGTTGTCAGGAAGAGCTGATTGATATATCTTTAGTTAGGCACCAGTGAACTCTTCCTGGGCTGTTTGCTTCAGGATTTGCTAGCTCCTAATCCTATTCTCACTCTTTTTCAAGGCTTTTCATTTTTCAAGAGTAATGCTTGTAATCAAAGCACTTGAAAAGAAAGTGACTGTGTTGGTTCATCACACTAAGCTACCCTGTGAATAAGTTACACAATATGGTTTCTTCAAGGAAGAACCCATGGTAAGCCCAGTAGATGATTGCATGGCACAATCTGGTCTGTCTCCCCACTTTGAACACTACCCTTTCTTATTCCCTAGGGCCTTTTTTGGATGGTGGGCTCAAAGTTGCAGCCAGGGTACTTTTTTTTCCTTCCAGCTCCAGAAAAGTGCACAGCTGTGTTCAGAACTTTTAAATTAATTTTTCTTGTTGCTCATCTTTCACAAAGCACTCCTATGGCTGCCCAATAACTGTTCATGTTTCAGCCACCAAAACAACTGGGGAAGTGGAATAAGCAGTATACATTTAAATTGGCAAGGTGAGCCTGCATACACGCTATTTGCCCGCAGTTGCCAAGAAAAGCACCAGTAAAGGGAAAATCAGCAGTTACAGAAAGTGCACCAGAAGTGAGGAGACAATATCTCTTAACAATGCAATCTCTTCAATTTAGGTGTTAAAACCAAACCAAAATGCTGTGTGAGCATCAGTGATGGGCAGCAGTAAGGGCAAGATCATGAAGAGTGGCAAGGGTTTTTGTTATTCGTGCTAAGTGGTTTGCTAGTTGATTCCCTCAACCCATAATGAAATTGTTCTCCTGGGTTTATTATTTATTTAGAAAATTTCTATGCCGCCCCATTCGCCGAAGCCTCGGGACGGCTCACAAATAAATCAATTAAAATACTATAATTAACAATATAGATGACTTCAGATGACTTACCATGGACTACACAACCCCTAGAACAATCCATGGGCTGTAAGTATGCACAGTTGCAGGAAGCAATTTATATTCAGAAGTCATGACAACCATTCATTGCTAGTTTAGTTTGTTTTAAGTTTAGCATTGTATTTTAAATCTTTGTACTGCTGCTAGGTCTTACTCTAGTTCTTACTCTGGTATTTTTATCTTATACTTTCTAACTATTTACATTTTTATACTACAGTTTATGTTTTAAATGGTTGTGAACCACCCAGAGAGCTTTAGCTATTAGCAGTAGGAAAATGTAATAAATATATTAGTCATGACAAAACTCAAAAGATCCAAAGCAACAAAAAACTTCTTTCTTCATTGGTTTAGGTGTACACCTAAACATGTGAACTCTGAATGTAACATTTGAACAGTTATCATACACAGATGATAAGTGAACAATTAATCAAGTCCTTTGAGAAAAATGAATGAACATTCCATATCCTAACACTGGGCTGTTAGCCCTACTCAGAGGATATCTATTAACATCAATGAAAATCAATCAATTGGTTCATATTGAGTAAAACACAGTATTACTTTACTAACATGTGTGCACATTCATTATGCCTTTGTTTCCAGACCAAGAGATAACTAAGCATAGATATGCCATTGTGACTAAATCACCAAATCCATTCTACTCTAAGTTGAATTGGACAAGAACACTGTTTCCCCCACTAGCAACTTTACTACTATTAGCCATGTTTGTGTAATTATACCTAAACAGAAGCCAGGCATTTTGATGTAAGCTAAAATTTGCCCAGCTTTAAAACTCTGCCAATTCTCCTAACTACCTGGTTTCATTCTAAGGCATATTTCAGCCAATGAATCCTGAATTTGAGGAAGCACTGACAACCTGCGAGGGTAACTCACATTGTCTTCCAGGGTGCCATTGCATCCAGGCTGAGCCACCAAAAGTTTGACAATCTCAACATGGCCATGCTCACTAGCACACATCAAAGCACTGGAGCCTTCGTCATCCTGGATGTTGACATCTGCACCGCAAGCCAGCAGTGCCCTCACCATATCTATTCGGCCATGGCTCACAGCAAGCATCAGAGCAGTCTGGCCAGCCTACAGAAACAGAAAGGAACAAAATTGACACTCACTAGCCATCCACTAGCATGGATTAGTACAAGCAAATCCTACCAAAACTGAAGTTATTGCATAAGCTAATAAAACAGAATATCAGTATCTATATCAGTTTTCTCCAACTTGGGGAAGGCTGATCCATATGCACAGAATATAAAGTGGTCAAGATTTTTCTCTTAAATCTGAAGCTACTAGGGTAAACACATATGCAATAACAAAGAGGTTGTCTTGGGACAAGCACAGCTTCCACTGAACTTTACAAATGGCATGCAAAACAATGAAATGCACACTAGTGAATCAAATAATGATTCACCCAGCTGTGCTTCTGCTCTGACTGCCCATCTGCTTTCAAAAAGAAAAAGTAGTGAGGGCATTTCCCGAGAGAATCCACTTAGCTAAAGGATGTTCAAAAAGGGAGTGGATATAGACAGGATGTAGCATGCCTACTAGCTGTTAGACCACACCAGAAAGCAAAACCATTTCTCCTTTTATTTTTATTTTTTGGGCTGTCTATCACTGCTTTGATCAACAGATGATAGCCATAGTAGTACCAACCTGACTGGCTTTAGCATTCACGTCTCCACAAGCAAAGAGTTCTTCTACTATTCTCATGTCTTTCTCAGCCTCTACAGCCGCAAGAGCAGCTAGCATAATGGGGGTATAACCAGCCTTGTTCTGGTGATTTACGTTACAGACATCTGCAGAGGGATAGATGAGAGACTCTCTTGAGAAAGTTGGAAGCCCAGAAGCAGCAATTGTACAAAAGTACTGAATAAACTGTTATTACAGCAGTCTTTTGGAAGTGCAGTGATTGGTTACATAATGAAGATGATTCAGAAGAACTTGCAAAAGGGAAAAGAGGGGCAGGGGTGGTTCTTGAGCCAAGCAAAGAAAACAACTCTTTCTTTATTCTATGCATCAAAGGAGAGCTGGACACAAGAGGGCACAAAGCCACATTTCTTGCAATTCCTAAGACAGTTAACCTAAAGGCAATTGTTCAAAAATTCTATGAACAGAATTGCAGACAGTACCAGCTTCTGGCCAGAATTTCAGATACATAATGAGAAAGCCTCAGACATACACGTGCAAGCATCATATAAAACAGTGAAATAGTGGCTGAAAAATTACAGCATTGTCTCTTGCAGTTATTTCCTTCACACTATTACATAAATATTTTAGCAACACTTTCTATCTTTCTAAAGCTTGCAGACATGATTTGCCAGTTTCCTTCACTAAACAGTATACGTTTGGGGCTAAATGCATTTAATTCCTTTGTGGAAGTGCCAGGGACCAATGAGACTATTCATTTTGTTCATCACTTCAACTTCTTTTCCCACGAATCCCTAAAAGGAGCATCCTATTTGACTTTCCCAGTTGGTCTGGGATGTCCTTATCTTCTAATAATTATAAAAACAAATTATCTGGAAGAAGGAAATCTGCATACTTCTATAATATATCTAGCAAAGAAAATAGCAGCAACAAATGTCCAATGTACATTTTCCCCAAGATTGATATGTACAAGTGACATTATGACAGGAACGGATACTGGAAAGGAAAGCTGCCTCCTTTCTATTCTGCTGATGGAACCTTGTACATCAAAGGACTTCCATTAACAGAGGATCATTAACTGGATACATCACATTATTATTTGTAATGAACTGTCAACTTGTGGTTTAATCCAGTTACCAGTGAAAGACCGCATCCTTAAGACTTCATTCATTTACTAATGAGAATTCTAGTATTCCAAGCCAAAACTACAGGGAAGGGCCAGATGACTTTAGGAATAAACAGGGACACCTGGATGCTAGACAGCTCCTAACAAGATGGCTACAGAAGGGAAGATGATGGTGCAAGGAAAGGAACACTAAAATCTCTGCATGGTTTACTGTGATATCCCAGAAGTAAAACTATAGTCAAACTAGAAATAGGCAAGCATGCCCCCCCCGCCCGCAAAATCAAAATAGCTGACTTACTTGCATCTAAAAGCAATTTCACAATTTCAAAGTTAGAGTGGGAGACACTGTAATGGAGAGCTGTGTTGCCATTTCCATCTGCCATGTTGATGACATGCCTAAGGACTTCAGGAGAAACTTCGTCAAAAGCAGCGATGTAGTCCCCAACCATTGCAGGAATGGCTGACTTTTGGCTTGACACACGAAACCACTCATGCTGGATGGTGTTTAAGCAAAACCGCTGCAAAACATACACACATATTTTCAAAGAGATGTTCTATTTGTAAGTGCTTTCACTCCCATACCAAAATTAAAGGAAAATCAGTCTGTTATTTACATCAATAATGGACAAAATATCCTAAAGCCAGTGCTTTTTTTGTAAAAAAAAAAAAAAAAAGTGCCGGCAGCAGTAAGCACACACACACCAATCCCAAGCAGCTATCTCTCACTATCAGATAACAGATAGCAGACACAATAGCAGCCTGCAGGCACTATGTTAATGACGTTTGCCGCTGATCTGCTACTCCTTCAAAATCACTTTGTAAAATCCATTGAAAAAAAGGTGCCAGAACACTGTTGCGTGCGTTCTATGACAAAAAAAGCCCTGCCTAAAGCCATCACATACATTAAAAATCTTTGTTTGAAAATAATTTCTATCTTTGATTTAATTTGTTATGTTTTGCTAGAATTTTTGGAGCGCACTTAGTTGCAGTCAAAGTATGTTGAGCACTTTAACAGGGCATGACTTTTACCTCCTCCATGAAACCAAATGTGCTCATGGACATTCTGCTTGCAGCACACTGGAGCCTGACTGTGTTGATTCTCCTGAACCTCTTAATCACATTCAGAACCATTGCCCACAGTATCCTTCTGGACTGTCTCAGGCAGATAAGAGGTATGTACTGGCTCCATTCATTACTGACAGGGACAAGAAGCCAGTTCTGGACGGCTACTGCTTCTTCTTTGGGGGGTTGTCTTACAGGTAACTATCGTTAAATTGTTGGTTTATTAAATGGGTTTTTAAGATGGTTGTGTAAGGGCATGGAAGTTATTGTTTTAATGATCACTGGATTTGTTTGTTCAGCTCTTTGTGTTGAGAAACAGATGGGAACTTTTGAAAAGAAACAATAGTCACAACAAGAGAGGGCAAGGGGGAAAGGATCATCTCTGGGAAAAGGATGTGTTGCTCAGCGGATGCGGTGGAACACACCATGAATGGATGTAGCCTGTACAGAGGCAGTATGAAGAGCGCAAGTTCCAGTGTGCTGCATATAATACAAAGCTAACACTAGGTAGCGAAGAAACATGGTAACTGACAATGCAAACATACCCGCTTATGAACCTGTCTCACTCAGAATTAGACTGATACACTCAGAATTAGACTGAGCTTTCTTTTCAGAGAACCACAAATCTCAATGCTAACAAGGACTCCAGATAGAACTTTCTGGCTCTATGTTGCCCACAGTCACCCTCAGAGGTCCTATTATATGATCAGCCAGGAGAGGTTGGTGGATATTCAAAACAGGGCCATTTCAGTAGTAACACCCCAATTGTGGAATAAAAGTAGTTCTTTCCCTGTGTTGCTTTAGACAGGCAGTAAAGACTTTTTGTTCCATCATGCTTTTAATGTTTATTGTTTTTCCGCTACTTGATTTTAATGCTGCTTGCAAATTTTATTATATGGTTTTGTTCTTTGGGTTTTAGGTGAAGTTTTATTGTTTTTATTGTACATTGCTCTGAGCTCCTGCTAGACAGAGGGTGTGATTTTAATAACAAGAACCACAAATATTTATTAACCATGGTTTTTATCTGTACATACACAACAGTTTCTCATTAAAAGGTGCCATAATAACATCTGAAAGAAGACATTTGCTTGACACAACAAACCACCATAGGTAACCAGTCACAGTGCATTGTCATGGAGACACAATTCATATAATTTTTGCAGAATGGCTTATTTTTGATGAGCAAACCATTCTGGGAATCCATGGATTGTTCTAAGGGTTCTTCAGCCACAATGGGTTACTGTGTTATCCAAATCTGGCTTGGTGATTTTGTTGCAGGCTGTTGGGAATGGTCATGGAGTAACTTAGAGATAAAGGTCAACCCTCACCCCGCTTGCTTTTGCAATTTCACTAGTGACTGCAAATACAACCCCCCTACCTTTTTACAAAAATTACTAATTAGAATTACTATCCCCTTCATTTATTTCCCAACTCTTATCGAGGCACACATTTCTCTTTCATTTGGTTCCCAGCCATTAAAATTGTGTATATTACTGCACTTTTTTTTTGTTAGAGGTAACATGGAATAGCAATACTATTACTCTGAAGAGGAGACATGTAAAGTGGAAGGTAGAAGCCTTTCTGGAGTAGCTGCAGACTTAACAACACACTGAAAAGGTGGAAGGCACTAAGTGGGTAATATTGCTTCTATCCCACTTTTGGTGCACCTGCTTTCCCCCATTTACATGTGGTTTCCACTGACCCCCCGGCAAATGACAACTGGCACAAATTAGCCAACATGCAGTCTTGCTATGCCCTTCCTCTGACATCTATCATAGAAAAGCAAATTGATGAGGGAAGACTATACATATTATATAGCCATAAGTATTCACTTATGGGAAGGGCCATCAATATATTTTTTCAAAATGCACCATTTTTAGATACATACATACGGTTTGCAGCCATAAAAATAGTGGCAACAAAGAATGGTAGCAATCTGAGTGGGAGTGGGGAGACAAGATGAATTCTGCTGCAAAGGACACTAGGGTACATGCTGAGGGGTAAGCAGGAGGAGAAAAAACTATAGGGAGCCAGTGATCCGCTGGACACACTGAAGGTTGTTTGGCAAACTACTGACCCACTGTGACTTATTCACAGGGTGGCTTAGCATGATGTGTGAACCCACTCACTGTAGCTCATTTCAAAACACATAATGCTGAAGAGCAACCCAAAAAAATTTGAGTCAAACAGCTTGATTCTGCTAGTTTCATAGCAAGAAGCAGACTTCAGGCCAACTTCAAATTAAAGGGAAACATTGCTATGTTTGGCAAGAGGCAGAGCACATTCCACTTCAGAACATAAATTTCATATGCTCATAACTGAGTGGAACACTCATTCCCTATGATGTGCATTCTCTATACAAACTAGGATATCAAGAGCATGACTAGTGAATGGTAGTGCCTCTTTTAAACCATTTAAGTATACACCTGATGTCTATTTGATACACATTTTATTTGTATATTCTGGCTGCAAAATATACCTGTTTGTCTGTTTCTCTCAGTAGCTACTGGCAGAGTAAAACTGAGGAAAGTGAGTGGGCTGAAGTCTTTTCAGAAAGGACTAAAATTAGCAATGCAGAGGCAAGTCCCTGCTGCTCTAATTTAAGGGATGAACTACTTGGCTTCAACATGTTTGCTCATCTTAGCACACAAATATAGCATACTTCATTCTGTAGCAGTCTCCTGAATGTCCATAATAAATTAAGCAGTATATACAACTAGCTTTCCTGAAGAAATAGCATGAATAAAATAAGTTTTCTGATACTTTCATACTACTTCCCCTCTATGGTCCTAATTATGCATTGCATCATCTGATCAGGAATCTGGGAAGTGACAGCATGTGAAGCAATAAGGTTTTTCTTCTTTCCTTTTATTGATAGCCTATGAAACAAGCAACTACCCATTTCTCATTTATTTTTCTGTATCATTAAAAAGCAAATTTAAAATAACAGAATTATTAGCAAAAATAAAACAAAAGCAGTTGTCTTACACAACTCAGCTTTTAATGTGACAAACATGGCCTATGCAATCTGAAAGCTGTCCTGGACTTACTATCTCTTTGCTGATCATAGCCTTTGGATCATCAATGCTGCTTTTAAGAAGATGGCATGCAGACAGCATCTTTTCACTTAATTCATATCTGAAAAAAGAAAGTGAGGTGCATGTTTAAATTATCACTTTTGAACATCTAAGTTCTGCAGGGAAATGAGAAAGTAGCAAACTCCTTAACAGCTGCTGGAATGTGGCATATTGATTTGGTAACACATGTTGAGTGGAGAGTGTCTGGCAGAAAGAACCATACCATGATGGTTTTCATCAAGAACATATAGCATAACCTTTAGGATAACTATTTGGGACATAGTCCACCAGCCAGAGATGGAGGTAATGCATAGAATCTTAAGCTGTTAAACTCTTTTTCATAAGTATGAATGACTACTAACTCACCACTACCTTCTAACTCTTGGGGGTTGCTTTACACAGAGCAAAAGTGCTTTTTCACCCATGCAAGACATTTCTGGATCCAGCCCAATGACCTCACAAGTCTTACACATTGGATGAGAGAGGGGGAAAATGGATAAATAGAAATGCCAATGCAACTTGAAAATGGAAAAAGAATATTTTTAAAATTAGGGATTCTTAAAGCTATCACAGTTCAGAACTACAGTCAATTTTTTTATAAAGAACCACTAAAATGTACATCAAAATACTACATTAGGGCATGACATCAAATTACTTTTTCTATGTGAATACGAATCATAAGGCTAGATCAAAAGATTAAGAATGTAGGCAACTCAAACACTTTCATTACTACAGCATATACTGGACTTTCCCAAACTTTTCCCCTCTCAGCATTCCTGACCATTGGGCCAGACTGGAGCTCAGGAGAAGTGAAAGCAAAAACATCTGGAGGACACCAGCTATGAGAAAACTGGCAAACAGGATCTTATCTGGGTCAATTTAACCCAAATTGCACATTGTAAACAAGCGAAAGAATTACCCAAGAAGAACATTTTAAACATTCATCATACCGCTCTCGAATTTCCACTTTTTCAGGCTCAGATTCCTGGAGCTGCACTACTTCACTCTGGACAGACTTAACATCTTCACTGCTCAGTGCATGGTCTTCAATTTCAGCATACTGATTCCCAACACACTCATCATCGGACTCTGATGAAGAACTCTCTTCTGAACTAGAATCATCACTTGATGTTGTTTCATACCTATGTGGCAAAATTACAGTGTATATCAACGCACCATTCAATATTTATTCAATACTAAGTGGTTTGCTAAACATAAAATCTGGTCATTCATCACTTAAGTACCTTTGCAACTCCAATCTGTACATAGTACAATTATGGGGACAAAATAACACTGGCTCCAGAAAAGCCTTGTGTCTTTTCCATGGTGCTCATTTTCCCAGCAATAACCAGAGCCTCCACAGAACCTACAAAGGGACCTTCCTGAATGAGATGGGCTGTGGCACGGGAAGCCTGAGGGGAACAGGGAATTTTCAACAAAAGGGTTGGGAGGCTCCTTCCACAGGTAGGCCCCTTGCTTGCTGATTTTTGGGAATCAGCTTCCCCCACACCCCCACACCCCTTTCCCTCAGCCTGTCTGAGCAGCCTATCCCTCTGTATAGAATGTGGGATGGGGGAGGTTCTAGAGGATGTTTGGACAGGAAAGTTGGCTTCCTGGAATCTTCTTTCACCAGCACAATGTTGAAATACACTACAAATAAAGCTTATACTATATTTGTTAAAGCAGAAACAAACCTTCTTTTGTAACCTGCAAAATGATGTTGAGAAGTTGCTCAACACTACTCAGTATTAAGAAAGGTACAGTATGACAAGAATTTTTCCAGTATGGAGAAAAGAGAGATCATGCAAATAATGTGTGAATCCATGAAGATTACAGTATTTCACTACTTGCAACTGCTCGACCTACAAAGGACATTTCTGGCGTTGAGATGCAACTGAATAGCAAGTTTTTAAAGTTTAAGCAAAATGGTGGGGCAAATGAGGAATTTCATGAAACAACGGGACATTGCTACATGAGAACGGGACAGTCTGTGTGTTTATTCTCTGGGGGTGAGAGCATGTTGCAGCAAAGAAAAGTAGTGAACTGCAGGCACATTCAACACAGCCTTTGAACATATAAACAGGGCAGACAGCTGCAATAGCAAACACATTTTCCCAGGAACAAAATATTGCTGTTTGAGTGCTGCCAAAACTGGTTGATTTGTGTCTATGGCCTTGCAGGTGGAGTAGACTTCTTTCAAAACTGGAATTTCTTACCCTCCATTTATACCAACAAATTGTAGATTCTTCTTTGCATTCTCATCTTTTCTCCCATCCTTTTTCTTCATGATGGACTTCAACATGCCATCATTTGCACATACTGTTAGAGAAAGTGCCAAGAACATATTTTAGTAAATGTCTTGCACCACTGTGCATTCAACTGGTTTCAGGTCTAATTAGGTTAGCCTACATACTTTGTACTTGTGGGAACCAACCAGAATTGGCCATGTCACAATTGCACTTGACAGTCACATCCTTCCCACTGTCTACATATTAATGTGTGTGAATGTAGAGCTCCACATGGTTGGGATCCCAGACTGCAGACCATCTTCATGTGAAGCTCTACATATGTAGAGAAGTACACACACATCCTGGGCAGGATGGCTGAACACATGGATGGCACCACCATTAGGCATTTTGGCTACAGGACATCACATTCCCCCTCCACACATTCTTTCAATGTATGTGGGGGTTCTCTAATGCCTCCAGAAGATGTTTTCTACAATCTAGACTAGAGATGCATCTTGCTTCTACCATTATTCAAAATGTAATTTAATCTATTTGCAAAAGGCAGAAAAAATAGGTATTTTGATTGCCATTTGTCCATTTTTCCTTTTGACGGAAATTATAAATCATGGTTCAAAGCCTATTAAGAGAGGATTAAAATGAGATGCATCAGACAAGAGACTGATGCAAGAGAATCCAATTTCCTGCTTACTCTAACATATATATTTCCTTTAATTTGTGTTCCAATGGACATGATATGGCTGCTGAGATACTTATATTTTCTATTCAAGAACTGTTTGGTTGGTAAGCCACAAACAATGCCAACAATATTAATAAAACAGGCTACACATTTGTCCTGATGGGAATATTTTTTCTATAAGAATTAATTACATTTTTTTTTTACTTTGTATCACCGAGAACAAGGCTAGGTTTGGGCCTTGAGCAAGCACAGAAGCCCATATGTGTGTTGCACAGAGACCGCAAGGAAGGAGGAAGCCACAGTGAACATATTTTTAAAGAAACTAATATAAACAACTGTAACAAATTTAGGCAACATTACCATAAAGGCCAGAGGCAAGCTGGTCATCTGTTAGATTAATTGGAGACGCTGGGCAGTCTTGAGAAGTTGTAGCTTTCCAGTCTGGTCCTGTTTCTAGGACAGCAGTCTTCTGCTCACTTATGGTCCCAATCTCCTGTCCCAGTTTCAACATTACAGAGCTTGAAACTAAATGGGAACTACCAGTGTGGCCATGAGGAGCCTTTGGCAAACTATCTTCTGTTGGCAAGAAAGGAAGTAGGTGACTGGATCAAGTTTTGCCAAACTAAAATGCTTCTCCTTTATTCTATTCATGATTTCAGGTATTTCCTCCACAGAGTGATAATCCAGAGCAATACTTTATACAATATAAGTGGTGTTATCAAAATGGTGCTATTGGTACAATCACTTTCACTACATTCAAGGCATATTTCAGCCTTTCCCAACTAGGTATCTTCCTGATGTTTTGCACTACAACCCCAGCATTCCTGACCATTGACCATACTGGCTGAATTTAATGAGAGTCTAAAACATCTAGGGAGAACCAGGATGAGAATCCAGTTATATTCAGCGAGCCCCTCTTCTTGTACTCTTCTCCACTTCAAGCTCAACTCTACCTTTCCAACTGGACAAAACAATACAGTTACAATTATAGTATGTGTCTTCAAAGGTAAAGATATAAAGCCATGCATTTGTTTTTCAGCTTTGAACTCTTATGTCCAGGTCCTTAAAACTGTGATACATAGGTTGGACAGCTGAAAGATTTGAATGATGTTATAATGTATATTGAAGAAAAGATGACATTCATATCTCCTTAAAACAACATATGAATTCTTGTTCACCACATACAAAGCATGTAAAGAAAGACATACACTAAGTTTATTTGAACATATGCACTTCATGACCTTTACATGTTATTCATACACACACAGGCACAGGGAAGAAAAGTAAATGCGCACATGTGCACTCATTCAGGCTCTCGCCAGGCTGAAATTATTCCCTGGAAAGTATCAGGAGAGCAAGCCAATATGTAGATAGTAAAAAATTAGTTGCATTCAAAGATGCCATTTTGGTAGTACAAAGTCTCAGTCATTGAGAGAAGCTCATTTTCAGTTCTGCCAAGTCTAATATTTTGAATCAGCTTGCACAAGGCATTACACAACTAATTTCACCTTTGTTTGGCTAGATGTTGTTTGCAGTAGCTGTGCAAACTGCTAGTGCAGGGATAGGGAACACATGACTCCAGATGCTGGAAGGCTGCACCTCCCCATCAGCACAGCCAATGAGGGGTGACAGAAGCTGTAGCACCCGAGAGCTATGCATTCCTCAACCCTGTACTAGCACTCATGTAACCTTTAATAGAATAATGATACTTCTTACACTTTTTCCCACAAGCCTAACACTGAATTCAATAGCAGTGCTATAGTAGCAGAGATAAATGAATAATAATGTCATACATGCCTATTCCATTACATTCAGTGGGATGTACCATCTGTTTGCAGTTATTAAGCATATTGGCTCACTGCAATTGTTGGAGCAAACCTTTGAATAAATAACAAATTTATTTTAAATGAATGCATATGTAGAAGAATAAATTTGGGGAACTCTTCTCAAGTTTAATGGAATTAATCCAAAGAATAGGCACTTTAAAATGTCTCCCTCCCTTTCTTCCTTTTCTAATTTTGAGTGTATGTACAACAGAACTTGGGGATTCAAGTTCTTCGGATGATTTTCATATTATTGATTAAAATCTTTCCTCTTCCACGGAAGCTGTGCTACTTTTTCATGCTTCTCTAAATACACACAGATATGTTTTTTCATTATTTGATGACATTTGTAATTGCTTCCTTATTAAAAAATATAATCTTGTTCAATAGTTCAATTTGTTTTGACAAAGATCAACAGGTCCCTAGCATGATGCCCTTTAGATGTTTTGGGCTTGGTCAGCTAGTGACACTAGTCCAAAACTACTAGAAGGCACCACATTGGGAAAGGCTCTAATTTGTGAATCAGCCTTCAATTATTTTGATTCAGTTAGGTCAATTTTGTTCCACAAATGAGGCACACAAAGTGACACACTTTATATAAATAAAATCTGGGCATTTGTTAAAATACTAAAATATAACTGAAATATATAAAATAAAATATTATAAATATTAAATGCTATATAAATATTTTATTTTATCTCTGCATATAACTGACATATATAAAATAAAATTTTAAAATATAACTGAAATATAACTGAACTGCAGGGGCAGGGACAGGGGCGGGTGTGCACAGAGATAATTTTCTCTGAGCAAGTCCAAACTCGGAGGAAACGATCTCCTTGCGAGTAAGCTGCTGCACGGCAAGGTGCCAGCTTACTCACAAGGAGATGGGCTTGGACTCGCTCCAAAATTCCGTGAAAGACTGAGACCACAAACGCTGAACTGCGACTTCATGGGGGTATAGTGTAACGCAAAACAATTTTAACTGAAAACTTTTTCAAATATTTAATTCAGTCTATCACTGTTCTATATTTCTTACCAGAACTCAGAAATTCTTAAGGTTATTTTAAAAAGGTACTATTTGTTTTCTGACTGAAATCAAAAGTCATCAGTAAGTTCTCCTACAGCACAAATCTAAACATCTGGAGATGAAACAGAACCCCTCTTCATTTAATGAGACCACAGGTCATTTCTGTATTTCCCTTCTCTGTCTTAGAAATGGTAATAATTTTGCCTGGATATTTCATAGGTATTTGTTAAAACTGGGGTATGCAGAAATAACTTGCTTTATTTAAAATATCTATTAACTCATGACTTTCTGAGAGGCTTACAAAGCGAAACATACAATATTAAAAAAGAGAGAAGGAATACAGTATATTGAGAATGAATTATTCTGGTTTTTGCCAACAGATACCACAAAGAGGCTCTGTGCCCCTCTGTCAGGGATGCTATTAATGCATCCTATATAGCAGATCTTGCACTGAGCAGTTGGACTGGAGTGAATGATCTCCCAGGTCCTTTCCAACTGTATGATTCTATATGGTATACCTGTGGCAAACAACAAAAGCTAGTCTAGAAAGCAGATTAAGTCTGCAATCTTACGCACCCTTAGCTGACAGTAAGTCCCACTGAACTTAATAGGGCTTTCTTTTGAATAGAGAGGCATAGGATGAAGGTATAAATAATGTAAATGAATTTACCTAGTGAAATATAGGAGAATTCAACTTCTGTGCGTGTTTTAGAGCTCTCCTGGAAAGATGCTAAGGGCAGCTGGAAGATACTGGCATTTACTCTGTCTTTGACCCACCAATAAATGACAATTCTGTGCCTTTGTTTTACTCAATCCTACATATCCACGCACACTCATATACAGACACAGGTGCGTCTGTGCACACACACACACACTAAACAACACTAATACCATAGCTCTCAATAGGAATAAAGTAACTATCTGGTATATTTGACAAAAACAATGAATCCAGACTTCTGTTGCTGCTGCTCCACTGATTTTAACAAAACAAAAATTTGCATATGAATTCCCACCTTTTTTTTTTAAGTTACTTTGGGGAAGTAAATATGCTTTTCAGGGAAACTGTAGAATCAAAGCAATGAAAAAAAGTAAAAAACTGAGAATGCTAGTAGGGTGTTATGCTGGCAAAAAATAATGGTGTAATTAATTATGCAGGCTTCCTGCAGTTAAAAATGAAAGTTTTTTCATGTTTGAACAAAATGAGGCCTTTGGCTAGGATGTGAAATGCAAGTTCCACTAAAATACCTTTATTAGCAGCTGATCTAAGTCTCTACCTGTATCTAGACAGTCTTAACTTTCTTACCTCCATGGCTGACATGGCAGTGTGAGTTGTGTTCAGATAAATTTTGTAAAACCCTGGACTATCTTTAACAAGCTAAAGGTTTTGTGCAGCCACTTTCAGCAACTACAGCACAAATAACAGCAGATTACAAGATGTTGTAAGCATGGCTGTATCTCCTGTGTCTTGTACAAGGATCAGCAGTATTTAGCATGACCAGCTGTATAAAGATCAGGAACTTAAAGAGAGATCTGCATAGCTTATTGCAAATAAGCAAGAATTAAAAACACAATTGGTTATGGGAAATTCAAAAGTATAAACATAAGGAAAACAATTGTGAAATGTTTGTGAAAATGAGACTATTTATGCTAAGAGTTTTTCAATTCTATAAAATACTTCTAGCCATACTTTTAGCATTACATCCTGCCATTAAAGACAGCCTGAGCTCCTAAGATCTTAACTATATTAGGGTCAAATACCCAGAAAACATAATAGATGATTACTGAGTTACTGGGTATCTTTAGCTATTTTAGGTATTCAAGAATGATACCACTTGCTGCTTCACTGGCATTTGTAGCATTAAGACAGGAATCTCTTTCCTGCAAGTAATAATATCAACCTGTTTTTCAAGACCGTACTCTATTTCACCTCATTAAGACATCACCAGGTTAGACGAATGAAAAACTCTGTTCCAACATACCTGTTGCAGCAGTTTTGCCCATGCATTGCCTTGGAATATCTAAGTTGCGCAGCTCCTCCGTGCTTGCATATTTCATGACAGTGTTGATGGAAGATAGGGTGCTGATGAGCTGAGAATTGAGAGAGCCAATTTGCGAGTGTGGCTCTCCAAAAGCGTCTGCTAGTTCTGAATAATTTTCAGCAAGAAGCATCTGCTGTTCTTGAACAAGCTTCTGAACCCGTTCAATGTAGTGATCCAGGCCCGTTCCCATCTCAGGTACAGTGAGTGAACTGCCCTCCATAAGGTTTCCTGATGCAAACACAGATTCATCCCCAACACCAATACTTCTAGTGCTGGGTGGGACTAGCGATACTGGAGGAGGCCCGCAGGCAATGTTTCTCATTTTTAGGCCAACTAAATAGTTCTCATTGATACTGATCTGCCCCACCCCACAATCTTTGGTCTTTGCTAGGGAAGATTTATCAAAGTTAGCCGTGGAAGAAATCAGAGTCCCCACACCAATGGAACGCGTTTTAGGAGCTGCATTTACATCCTTGACCCTACCGTCTCCAACAGCCACAGTCTTCATTTCCACAAACACAGTATTTGTCTGTTTATCAGAAGTGCTTTGGAAAGTGTTGGTGCTGGAATCCATCAAGGTAGCCATATCCGTGTTGGTGAACTGGTCAGTCTTTTCTAATACTGTATTGGTTCCCTGGGTAGCTGTACAAGGCACTGCTGTGACCCCAGAATCTGCTTTGCAACTATGCTCTGTTTGCATGCTGCAGGACATTTTTTCCTTTGTTGAAAGGAGAGTCAGATCCAAACAGTCGCCACAGCCTACTGACCGCACTTCCTTGATTTTCAGTTCTGCCTTGCGCAGGGTTAGATTATCCACAGACCCCTCTGTATTGACCCCAGTTTCACAGATACTCATTTCTGTGCCTACACACTTGTTGCCTATCTCAACAGAGCTCTCAGTGCCCTGGTCACAGACTTCTTTTCTCTGCTTCACAATCCACCAATTCATGGGCACATCTGGACCCACAGCTGAACTCTGCAACATAGGCCTACACAATACCCCAACACTTCTCATTTGGAGAAAGCTCCCTACACATGAATCAACAACCGCCACATGATCTCCCACCATTTGGTCTCTGGTTTGTACTACTGCTTCAATGGCTCTGTTGAAGACAAGGGGTTGTGCCATCAGTGCCTTGTCCATTTTTTTCCTGGAACCAGCTGCCTGAAGCTCATGCTTTAATTTGGTCATCTCCCTATCATGAGTGGTTTCCCTCAACTGAACCTCCAGCCGGTATATTTTCTCTTTGAGGGCTTCAATAGTCTGATGCTGGAGCTCTATTTCTCTCTCAGCCTCCGTAGACAGACCAAGCATTCCCTCTGTCACCCCAACAAGAGCATCTTTAGTCTTATGTTCTGTCCCTACTGCTACATCCCTGCATACTCTTAAAGCTCTGCTGTATACAACAATATCATTCATGTTTTCTTCTCCACCTACAGCAACTGACCTATTTTCTTTTGCTATACTCGCTCGGTTAACTCTCAGGTTAGATGGAATATCATAACTGCTATCCTGGATTTTCTTCTCCAAGGCTTGCATTTCAGCAGTCAACTGCCTGAACTCTTCTACCTTCTCTGGGTTATGTTCTGCACTTCCTATGTCTTCCTCACAGTCTATATAAAGTTCCCCACCTGTTTTGACAGGAGATAGATGCTTCCATTGCTCTGCATTTCCTGCACTGTAAGATCGCTTTCTGAAGTAGCCTGTGTCATTCTGGTTGACTATTCTTTGACTTTTAAGCTTTGCCATTATCTGCCTCTTTTCTTCCTGTAATACCGAAATCTTAACCTGGAGCACAGGAATAGTCTTTACTTGCTCCTCAAGCTCCTTGAGGCGTTTCAAAGCAATAGCCATCTGTTCCCTGATATGCTGAAGGTGCACAGGGCTCACATTGGTCACAGGTGTTGAAATACCTGAACTCATGGGGCTATGCCGGATGGAACTGCCCACAGAGGATGCTAGATGAAGGTTAAAATCTCCATTACCCTGATATCCATTCTGAAACTGCTGAGACATCTGGTTGTGTCCACTGGATCCTACGAAGGAAGGAAGTGAACTTGTTGAGCCCATGGCACCAAAACTGGAAAGCCTGGGTCTCCGTGTTTCTCCTGGAATTGCCTGCATGGTTATTTTTTCCTGCTCCAGTCTTCTCCGTGTTTCCATTAAAGTTTTTGTGACACGAAGATTGTGCCTAGGAAGCTGTGGTGAAGGAGGCAGTAGTTGTTTGCTTTCAGGTATTGTTAGGAAGCTTGGGGAGGCTTCAAAGGACAAGTGTGGCCTTGTGGTGGTGGTGCTTGCTGGGCTTCGTGCTGCAAACACTGAAGATGAATGTTTGTTTTCATCACTGTTGGATGAAGAAAGGGATTCATTTGATGTCCATACCCCAAATTGGTTTGAGGTGTTTTTGACAGCGACAAAAGGTGGCGTTGCTTTTCGCTTTTTCTGTATGTTCAACTTTTTAATAGTATTTCCCTTTTGTATATCTTCCACGTACTTGAGAAAATCTAGGTCAAGCTGGTAACCATACGGGGTTTCCACAAAATAGGGATCTTTCTGATCCTTCTCATCCTCTCCATTCAGCGCATTTTCATCCTTTTCTGAAAGAGAAAGTAACCACACAGAACAGCTTAAAATCCTAAACAAAGTTAAATTTTAGATACATTACTCAAATGCCAAAATCCATGTTCCATACCAGAGAATCTATTTTTAGACTCAATTTTTATAATTCTATTATTCATTCTTAGCATGCAATTTCCATTTTAAGTGTTCAACTGAAATTTAAAAAACAACATACATGAATATATTTCTGGAGGTGTTGCATTAAGCCATCCGTTTATCTGCCTGTGTTTATAGTTACCACCCAATCCTGCATTTCTAGTGCATCACCAATATGTTTCCCACACACTGTACCTTTATGGAAGGTACATTGCAACGCAGCACACTTATAAGGCAAGTCAAAACTGTCTACAAGATCTAAGGGTTACAAAAATAATTTCTCTCTCAATTTAACACAGCTTCAGTGATCCACAGAGGTGTTAATGTTGTTCAGATGTTAAAAACAAAGTAGTCTGAAGTTACAGCAATTCCCTGCTTAGAAGCACATTCATTTGCGATTGCTCATGCTACCTCTTTTACAATTCCTATACTGTGCGGAACCAGTAGAGTTAGAACTATCCAGCAGACCCGTTTCCAGTGCAGTCTAAAATATCTCATCTGAAAGAGAAACTGCCAGCTCAGATGTCAGGGCAGCACAGCTTCCTGCAGACACAGGAGACACATGTCGCACTAAAGCATTCTAAATAAAACTGCAGCAGATTGGCTGAGTTTCTGCGGGCCAAATATTTATACCTATTACCTGCTGGCACAGAGACACACAGCAAGGATTTAGAACACCAGAATAACACATTCAGATTTCAGTTGCATTACCTTAAAGTTTCTCTGCTTCTAAAAATCCATGCACACTCTGTCCAAAGTCTACCAAAGTCTACCAGATCTTGGACTATTTCCTGGAATTACTGCTTCATACGTCATACAAGCTCCTCGCCTGCAAAATCCCTGCTTCTCAGCTCGCTCATTCTTCACCCCATAAAGGGAAATAGTGCCCAGCAAAAGAGTTGGCAAAGCTTCACAGGCCGTGCATTTTCCAGTGGATTCACACTCGTGGGGGAGGGAAGCAGGCAGGCGGGGGGGGGGGGGAGACACGTATTTCCTTTTTCCACTCCTTTTCAGTACACACTGATTTTTAAAAGAGAAGCCTCTCAAAAGACTCACAATCACATGTTTTCATTAATGTTTAACACCACTACAAAATAGGTAATGGGATATAATGTTTGTACTTTCTTTTAAGATACTCTGTAGCTACACAAATTTATATTAAGCCTCCCGAAACCCTGAGTTCTGTGTGCCATCTCCAGAAAGTTTAATGGCAGCCACTTAAAAGCAAGTTACTCTCCATGCTAATACTCCTGAAAAGGATATAGACACATGCAGGCTGCTTCCCATGGCATTTGACCACTGTGTGTGTACAGAGAAAACGTTTACACCAGTGGAAAATGGTATGTGACAATTATGCTGGGTTTCCACAGGCAGAACTGTGCATATATATTTCTTCCATCCACAGAAGTCCATAGAAGACACTTATTTTTAATGTTTTTACTTTAGTTGACAGGTTCTAACCCTCAGTTGACCTAGTTTGCAAGTACCATGGGTTCATTAATAGTTGGCTGGCTGGAATCAGGAGCAAGTACACACTCCTGACTTTTGCCCTTACTTACTTATTATTTATTTATTTATTTATTTATTTATTTATTTATTTATTTCCTATACTGTGCCATAGCTGAAGCACTCTGGGCAGTTTATGGTGATTTATCTACCCACCCACCCACCTAATTAATTAGATTTATTAGCTTTTTTCTTACAAACTCAATGTGGCTTACGACTCTCATTCTTATCCCCACAACAACCACCCTGTGAGGTAGGTTGGGCTGAGAGCCTGTGACTGGCCCAAAGTCACCCAGTTGGCTCCATGGCTGAATGGGGACCAGAACAGCAGTAGACCGCCTGAGTCCCAATCCCATGCTCTTAACCAACACACCATATAGACTCTCAATGTATAAAACATAATAATAAAAATACAATGCAAATTACATAAAACAACAATGTTAAAAATTAAAATTAATTTAATTAGCTTTAAAATATAGCAAATAATACAACACACTCCTGCTTTGCATTTGGTTTAGCAAACTCAAGAAAAGCCCATTTCTATGTTGCTTTATAAGACATCCAGCCCAGTCTCTCTGGGTTGTTGAGGTAAAAACCCTTCAGAATTTTAACCTAACAACATGCCAAGAAAAGAAGAAAGAAAACCATACACAATCACATCAGCAGTCACTAGCAAGCTTAGGTAATGACGCTGACACACACAGAGCCAAAAGGGGGTCACTAAGGAACCAGAGGTAGTTATCGGCCAGCCTGGAAACACTTAAAAAAGAAAACTTAAAGAGGCCCACTCCCCCAACACGCACCCAGTTGCAAGAAAACCAGCTTAATGAGAAAGACAGAGAACCGCAGCCAGGGGAAATGGAGTGGCTTGCAGGAGAACTTGTCAAGCTGGCAGACTAAACAGGTGCACTACTCTTAGAAAGAGAGATTACAGTGCAACGCTGGATTGTAGCCCAGAGGTAGACAATTGTGCAGCAAGGGCCAGGTCCAATATCCAGCAGCCCCAGGCAAGGCTAGGAAAGATCCCTGTCCGCCAATAAGCTAGACTGGACAGAGTGCAGATGTACCAATGGCCTGGCTGGATATAAGGCAGCTTCTTAACTCTAAGTATGGTGTTAAAATTAAGAATTATATATAAAACCTTAACTAACCATTTCAACACAAATTACACAACGTGACACATTCTGTCTGCATTGCTATGTTGGTAGGGAAGTAAACTGCTCTATGCTTTGTCCTCAAACGGAGAAGTAAAAGAGAGTCTACTCTAAACTGAGCAATGCACTCAGCTCAGTTATTTTGGATAAGAGGAAGACAATAGTGGGCCCATGCTTTTCCTAACTTATAATAGAACGGCCCTCTTCTACTCGTTTTGTAACATTTAAATGGAGTTCTTATTTTATATGGGTTTTAGAATGCATTTTATTTATTTTTATGCAAACTATTTAATAATCTCATGCTATCAAGCCCTATAACTTATATGGTTACACTTCAAAATGTCTGCATTATCTCTTTCAAAAAGCCCCTCAAACACAGTGGTAAAATTAGCCCTCCATCTTGTAATGTTAAACTTAAAATTTGCTCATCAAAGTAAAACTTTCCAGCAGTAAAGTGCATACTCTGAAGAAGTTCTAGCATTAAAACAGCAGTACAAATTCACTTCTGTTTAAAACAAAAGGCAGCACTGTGCTTTATTTTGAAATGTTTCATTTTATATAGCAAGCAGCAGTATAATAAACATGACAGGACTACAAGGTATGAATAAATTATTAGGATTCTTGAGGAAGTGAGTCCACCTCTTAAACAAACATTCTGCTACATGTTCTGACAACACAGCAAATACAGTCTTTGCTACCAGTATTACTACATAAAAGTGATTTATAACACAAATAAAAAATCAAACTCTCAGCTATAATTTACGCTAACTTCAATGAAAAAGATATTCTACAGCTACATAATACTATCAGAAACATTACAGTAAAATGAAACTCCAAGCTAATAAATTTGGTTCCATTTTAGGAAGGGTCAGACAGAGTTGTCAACCACCCATTACTTTACCGGTTTAACTAGAAAAACTGCATTCTGCCAAATAACCAGTTCCACTACCATCAATTTGATACCAAACATCTTCCTAAAGCTTTTGTTCTCAGCAGCAACATCCATCCCTCAAAACAGGGCTATTTTCCAGTTTTCACCAGCTGGGGTATAAGGCCAGCTATTTTCCTCCCCACCAAATCAGACTTGTACAGAAGATGTGTCCCTACCAACGGGTGGGAAGGAGATGCCACTTGTAATGACTAAGAGCAATTTTTACATGTTTACTTCATGGAATGGACAATACATTGACAAGGTACAATTAAAGCTGTATCAACTGCTAGATTACGTTAATCAATATTGCAAGACACCTAATAAATATTAATATTTAAATATTTAAAAGATGGATAAAATGTTCTATCATTTAGTAGAGCTTCAGGATACCAGTTTAACAAACAAACAAACAAACAAATAAATAAATAAATAGGTTTGCGGTATATCCAGCCCTTTAAATTGTATAAACACAGCACATACAAAGCAGAATCTTCTATGAAACACTCCAGCATTCAATTTCTGGACTTGCTGCTACCCTTCTTCATCAAAATGCTTTGCAAACAAACACCATTTCTTCTGATTTGAAGCTTTTGTCAGCTTAGTCAAAACTATTTTGGTGCAATTATTGTCAAGTTCTATTTCACCATTAGTTTTGCTTAAATATTTAAAAGAACAGAAAACTGTTTCTCTTCCCTTCTCTCTTAACAGTTTATTTTCAGCTTCTACCATATTAGGATTAGCTGCACTTTTCTTCTTGCAAAGGAGCAAAGAGACATATGCACAGATGAAGAAATTCAAGCACTAAAAATATGATCACACCCTGTATGTACATAGAGTAAATATGCAGTAGTTGCACTGAACGCATATATATATATATATAATATACATATATATATATAATCAATAGCATACCAAAGTCAAAAATAACTACAGAAACACTGTGGCTCTTGTGGGGTTCTTTATTCTTTATTCTTAATGCGTAAAGTTCTGAATGGATATGATCTAGGATCCACTTGCTTATCTTTCTGCCAGTCCAAGATATTTGCAAAGCTCTCCTCCAGCACCCTATTTCCAACGTATCACTTTTATTCCTGTCAGTTTGCCTTACTGCTAAACTTTCACACCCAAACCTAGTGATCAGGAGTACAATTGTGTGGATAATCTGGCCCTTGTTCCCCAGTGAAACATCCCTGCATTTGATAAACTTGTCTAGTTACTTCACTGCTGTCCAGTTCCAGTCTTTGAATTTCTTGACTACAGTCTCCCTTTGAATTGATGACTGAGCCAAGGT